CTCAAATCCGTAAGCTCATCAAGGATCCAGCTTTCGTTGCATCAATGAAGCGAGAGGAAGCCGACGCGTGGCGCTCGTTCGTTCTGGTTGTGCAGAACTTCTTGGGGAACAACAGAGCTGAGAATTGGGTATCAATGGTTCGTACCATGCTCGGCTGCTTCCACAGACTCGGATGAGTATAAAAATGCACTACCTCAACGATCATCTTGATAGATTCCCCCAGAACTGTGGCGATGTCAGTGACGAGCAAGGCGAAAGATTCCATCAAGACCTGAAAGTTATGGAGGAGAGGTACCAAGGGAGGTGGGACGCCCACATGATGGCCGACTATTGCTGGAGCCTGATGCGGGACGACTCAGAAACAGTGCACTCCAGAAAATCGCTTACGAAATGTTTCGATGGTTCGAATTCATAAAGCCCCGAGATTACACACTGGATGACTCCCCCGATTACGACCAACTGTTGAACTTGGTTCGGTCTCGGAATGTTTGTTTCTGAATGTACCCTATGACGGGATGGCGGTCAAGAGGCTTCCAGGGCTTGAGTTATCACTCCTCCTAATTTTATCGTCAGCTCGACATTACGTCGTGCTTTTTCAACGATGTCGGCTCTAGTAGTTCGCCGGCGGGGTGGCGCAAAGGGAGACCGGTCGCCATCTCTTCTCGCGATCAATCCGCGGACGACCGATGTGTGAGTCTGTACTGTTGACTTCTGACACGTTTTCTCTTTCTATGTCAGCGTGTCTCTCTAATACTCTAATTCGATTGACAATCGGTCGATGGTAGGAGAAGTATGATACATAGCGTCTGGTCTCTACATCTATCCGTCTCGAGAAGGTTAGGTCGATGCAGGTGTTCCCAAGGGTCGTCATTTCTGTAGGATTGCCACAAAATCGCAGATCATAATATTCTTCAAAATACTCTTCAAGTTTCGGACGATCAGTATCGGATATATTGAAGTCTCCCATAACTATTAAAGGGACACTATGGAAGACAGTGCTGCCGCTGGTTTCGAATCTCAACATGGCGGCTCCGAAATGTCTCTTCATACATATCTTCGAATGCTGACTTCTGGTGAATGTGAATGGACGCTTGAATGAATACTTTGGCTCGAGGGATTTCGATCTCCGTGAGAGACATGTCAAATGGATGGTCGCTTCGTTCACTCGATGCTCCATGCAGATTCAATGGTCGTGTGCCTACCTCATAATCCGCCCGTTTGAAAACGGCTGATCCCCCGGATCGTTTGGAACATGCTGCTTGATGGATTATCGTGAAGCCCTCGATAGGAACAGCTGATATTCTGTTTTGTATCCATGTTTCTGTTAGAACCAATAGCTTAGCTTGCGATAGTATCGAATCGCTGGATATGTCTTTGGTATGGGCAGTCAAACTTGGAAAGTTCATATTCACGATAATCAAGCCAAGATTTTTGTTTGATGCTTCCTCTATGAATTCCCTGAGTCCAGTGGAGATCGTTGGTAACCTATAAGTTGTTAGCCTTTCGTATTCGTTTCTCACTACCCTCGTCGATGGACTGTCTGATCTTCGTGCGTGATAGAATGTGAAGTCGTCGGTGATGTTGGTAAGGGACATAACCCCCAGTGATGTTACTCTACTCATCGCTACGTAAACTAATTGCTGTTTATGGTTTTTATGGTAGTCATAGACGATCTCATTGAACGTCCCGCCTTCAGATTTGTGAATAGTGAGTGCACACGCTGGTGCTAATGGGAACTGACAGCGATGGCATTTGATTTTGATTCCCGCATTTATATTGATTGAGCGTCTCTCAATTGGTACCCATCCTCCTTCGAGCTCTTGTGGTTTGCTTCGAACGTGCGCTCTGTATCTCATCATGATACGGCTGCCTATATTCTTGCTAGAGAATTTAAGCCAAACACGGGTTGATGCCGTTTCAGTGTTCGGACATGGAAAATGTTTGACATAGCAGAGCTTTCCGATTGCTCCGTTAACTATTCCGTCCTCGACATCGACGTTTAGTGTTAGCATATGTATATGGATAATCCTTCGAAAATTTTATGCTGTAGGGAAGTCCTCCGCAATCCGAGCTCTTAATACGATGCACCTTCCCCACAGCGTCGCGCCTTTCGCCCTCCGTGATGTACCCCGTGTGTATCTATATCCTGGGCGGTTATGTGCTCTGTGCTCTCCATAGTGGGTAATGCACTCGCATTATCTTGTTCTACGTCTACATTATTGAAAAATAGACGTACTGCGGAGTCTGGAACGTTTTCCTTGCACCACTGCCGCGTGCGGTATCTTGATTGGATCATTTCTTTTTCTTCTGTTGTGAGCCCGTCTCCTGAACCGATTTTGCTCGAAACCGATGAGAAGTACGAATCCTTCTGACGCACTACTTGTGTTGAGGGATAAAAGTCAAGGGATTGCCAAAGTAGTGCGTTTTTTCCGATAATCTGTTGTGTCGCGCTGTATACTGGAGCCGCTCTTACTGGTGGAAGTTGTTTTAAATCGCCGCAAGCTACAAGATCTACGCCGCCAAAGATATCCGTGGGATTTCCCATCATTTCTCGTAATCGTGAGTTTACCGAATGAAGGAGGTGTGAGCTACACATACTTGTTTCGTCGATGATGACGCACCTGACGTTTCGAAGAATGTTCCGATACGTTTGTAATACATCATAAAAGAGGCGATTGGTTCGTCTCGAAGTTGTCAATCGAAAAGCTGCATGAATCGTTGAGCCATCCAGGCCGACAGCGGCTTTCCCCTTAGTTGCCGTCGCGATGTATGCGTTGTTCAATGAGTTAGGTTGCTGAGAATATCGATTGTCCATGCCGAGGAGAATCGCAGGACGATGAGAGTTCCATTCGCTGACATAGGACCGGTCCGCCACTGGAAACCTTCTATCAAATTCCCGGATGGCGTCGACGATGTCTCCTGGCGCGATGTTGGAAGGGCTCACTCGAAGCTCGTGCTCACAAGCGGCTATCGATATTTCGGGTCCGCCTTGTGGCCCGATCAGCCTGATATTAAACACCGACGTGCCGTTCAGAGCATGGGTACCAACAAATGCTTGGACAGCCAGATCACATTTCCCAATCGGCGGCGATTGAAGTTCCCGACACAGTTCAGGAACGGCCACTGTGAGCGAACTTCCCTTGTCAATGAAGATCCGCACTGGGATTCGACGGTTGCCAGCTAGCGCGTAAGCACATGCCGTCCACAAGAGTGTGCCACAGATCCCCTTGTACTGGCCGACCATAATATTAATCGGATCCTCCAAGGGGAGCTGAGTCGTCAGTATGCATAGAGGGATAATGCTCCTTCGACTTGCACTTCACGCATGCGAATCTCGGTCCGCGACACTCCGTCAGGGTGACATGTCGCGGTCGGAGGCATTTTTCACAGCGTTCCAGATCGCGGAGGAGTTCCGCGCGCTGCGGTATCGTGAGGTCCGCGCAGCACCGCGACGATGAGTGCTCCTCGGACTTGCAGAAGAGACATTGTTTCGGACGGAAATGTTGGTTGGGAGACCTCTTGGTTGCTAATTTGGTGACGGCTCAGGGAGGCGGAGATCGGGGCTGGACAGTTTCGGAAGAGGCCGCTAGACGGCGCTAGACAGCTGATGGCGGGTGACGTCAGTCACTCGCTCTGTCAACCACCGACTCTCAGAGAACGAAGTTATTTAGAAGTGATACTCCCATACTTATAGGTCAATGACAGTTCGGAGAAATCCGTAGAGATACTTGTATTCAATTAAGATTGTGACCAATAGAGCTGGGGGGCTGTCGAGGTTTGAAGACGCCGTGACGTCAGTCAGGTGTTGTCGTGAGGTCTCTCCTTCAGAGGATCAAGCGGGCGTGCCGACGGCGGCACGCGGGACATCACTACACGTGGAGGCTAGGCCCAAGGAGGAACTAACCGTTCCCTGCTATCGGCAAGGCCCGCGCTCCAGGAGTCAACATCTTGACAGTTGCCCCAGTGACTAGGTCTACTAAGTCGACTAAAACAGACTCTTTTCATTGTGCGTGCAACAACGCCGGCGACGGTGCTCAGCGCGCCGCCGTACCGCTCGTCTGCCTGTTGTTGATCGAGAAAATATTGTGACGGTGTTTCAGTGCAATGCATGGGAGCCTTGGAGAAGAACCTGGAGTGCAGATTGGTTGTGTAAATGGAGAACAGATGTCCGAGGGGAACCCGGAGTGGGCAGACCTAGTGAGCGCGCGATTGTAGAGCGCCCTGCCGACTCGGGGGGAACCAAGGCAGATGAGATACATTGTAGCAGGCGACATGTGTGCTGGGGTCTACGATCAAAGGCGGAGAGCGGCGCCGCCGTCGGGCACGGCAGTGCAGTCCAAGTGCACGTAATTGGGAGAGAGAGAAAGAATAAAGACCGACGCGAGGAGAGGAAATAGTCACTCGTAATCGGGAGTTGAACCGAGTTGCGTGTTCTTATTGTGCTCAGTCCCAGCGTCCCCGAGTTCTCAGCCCTATCCGGCCCCCGAGTTCCCGTCCACCTCCGCAGCCCCAGCGTCCGCTTCTTCGATCCATCTCACCGTGTTGTGGTGAGCCCGTCTTCCGAATTTCCCCCGTCCTCGCGCGTCCCAGCAGTTAGCCCTAACGTCCGTCCTGAGCTTCCCTTTAGAAAAACCCCGCTACATTTGGTGGAGATGCTGCGACCCCCCTACCTAGAAACAGCTAGCGTAACGTTAGGATAGCATATCAGCCAAGCAATTGGCGTATTTCCCAAAGAAGAGACAAAAAAAAACCGAACCACGTGGCAACCTCCGAAAGTGCCCAGTCACTTCGTGCGCTTTGCACGCGGATACCAAGCGAGGAACGGAAATATTAGCTAAGACGGCCCCAAGTAACCCCCAAACGCTGTAAGGCGAGCCTGGAATAACATTCTCATAGGATCCTAGCGGCTATTCGGTAAAAATCCCCAATCCCGATCTCTCACCCGGGGACCGTCACTAAGATCCGCATTAACCCTCCTTGCGCCCATCTGCCGGATGAAAATGCGTTCCGGAAGAGTCCTTCACACACAGCCGAGACCAGGACCCAGCGGAAGAGTCGAAACAAACCGCCTGGGAAACGCTGCCGAAGAGCAAGAGGTCGCGCCCGCCCAAGAAATCCACGCAGACGCACCCGCACAACCGGAAACGGAAGGCAACCCAGCGGACGACGCGGCCGCCCCCGAAGACAGACGGAACGTCCCAGCCAACCCGCCCCTCATCCAGAGACACCTTCAGGGCCTAGGGATCGACTTGTCGGAGGAAATCTTGAGGCAAATCGTGGACGACCTCACCAGGCGAGTTCGGGAGAGAATGGTCACCAACGGAACCGCGGCAGCAACCACGGACCAACCGCCGGCGGCCCCAGCAACGAAGACAGAGGAGGAGAAGCAGGCGGAATTGGAGAAATTCCTTCCGCCCGCAGTGAGAAGCACCAAAGAGCCGAGAAGCTACCGCCCCGAAGACGACGCATCGCTGTGGATCAAGCAGTATGAGATCGCGTCGGTCCTCAACGGGTGGAACGACCAGTTCAATCTGGCGACGGTGGAACTCTACATGACAGGAACAGCGCTGCAGTGGGCGCAAAACTGCCTGCCCGGTCTCACGCAATGGAAGGCCTTCAAGAAAGCTTTCCTCGCGAGATTTGATATCGGACGCGTCGCAAAGGCCAAGAGCCAACTCCGCAGGCTAATCCGCGACGAGGAGCAGCCTCTCCTCGACCACCTCGAAAACGTGCAATGGCTTTGCCATCAAGTTGACCCAGCAATGTCGGACGCGGACATCATCGAGCGTTTCTCAGACACCATCAGCGGAGCTGACTACGCTGATCTGCAGGGAGAGGCGGCGACAAAAAGCCTCCGACGCCTACGGGCGGTGCTGGAAGCGAGGAAACACCAGGCGGCGACCCGTAACAAAGCACCGCAAGCGACTCAGCCACGTCCCACCATCGCCGCGGTGTCCTCAAGCGGCGGGAGCTACGACCGACTTAGCAGCCCCAGCAACGACAGAGGTCGCAGCCCGCGGAGGGAGCCATCCCAAGGACGGACCCCCGAGAGATCCTCCGAACGGTACGGTGGCGTGCGGAGCCGCAACCCCGACCACCGACAGCCCGATGGGTACCGCTACAGGAACCCGTCACAAGGCCGTCGCCAATCCGACGACCACATGTACCGAGCCATCTTCGAAGGCGACCGACGATCCTGGGACAACAAGCCCATCTGCAACTACTGCGACCGGGTGGGCCACGTGCAGAAACACTGCCGGGACAAAGCGAACCGAGTGCCGGCCGCCAGAGCGCCCAACCGCTTCGGAACGAACACTCGTAGCCCCGGACGCCCCCAGACGGAGAACGGATATCGGCCTCCGCACCGGTCACCGAGCCCCTACGGTGATCGCCAATCAGACCGCGCGCCGTCGCCGGGAAACGGCTCGCGCCGGGGCTCGTAAGCTGCGAGCAGCCCACGTCAACGGCGATTCATCAACTGAACAAAGCAGCGGTGGAGATACGCGGAGTCGGAAGTCACGAGGGAACCATCGACACGGGAGCTGATACGTCGGCAGTCAGCGCCGCGATCGTGAATAAGTGAATGGGTGAATAAGTGAATAAGTGAATAAGTGAATAAGTGAATAAGTGAATAAGTGAATAAGTGAATAAGTGAATAAGTGAATAAGTGAATAAGTGAATAAGTGAATAAGTGAATAAGTGAATAAGTGAATAAGTGAATAAGTGAATAAGTGAATACGTGAATAAGTGAATAAGTGAATAAGTGAATTAGTGAATAAGTGAATAAGTGAATGAGTGAATAAGTGAGTCGAGCGACGTCGAAGCCGGAATTCAGAGTATGAAGAAAGCAAAGTATGTGCATACCGACACCGCGGATCAATCGCGCGACGATTCCTGACGACGTCGCTGACCTCGATCGGCGCCCGTCTCTCGACGGGCCCGGACTTCGTTCTCTCGATGGGGCCGGAGTCGATTCGCTCGACGGGCCGCGTCCTTCTTTTTGCGGTGTGCCTCTTCTTTCCTTGTGTGTTTCTTGAGCTTCTGTAAGGTCTCCATTTCAGAACGAGTGTTCTGGAGTTAGCACCATCTCAGAACGAATGTTCTGAAATGAGCACCATCTCAGAACAAATGTTCTGAAATGAGCCCCATCTCAGAACAAATGTTCTGAAATGAGCACGATGCCAGAACAAATGTTCCAGATATCGACGAATCTGAATCAATGGTTCTAGGAAAAAAAAGGAGATTTCAGAACATTTGCCCTGACGAATGCATTATCCAGAACAGCTGTTCCAGATTTCACCATATCACTTTATCACTTTATCACTTTATCACTTTATCACTTTATCACTTTATCACTTTATCACTTTATCACTTTATCACTTTATCACTTTATCACTTTATCACTTTATCACTTTATCACTTTATCACTTTATCACTTTATCACTTTATCACTTTATCACTTTATCACTTTATCACTTTATCACTTTATCACTTTATCACTATATCACTTTATCACTATATCACTTTATCACTTTATCACTTTATCACTATATCACTTTATCGCTATATCACTATATCACTTGAAGGGTCATGAAGGATTAGACTTCGTCGTTTATTGGACTGAGCATACTCATTTATATAGACAGCCCATAACTACGTGTAACTCGGCGATAGGCGAGGAGTGAAACCTCTACAAATGCCCCCCGAGATAAATGAGTCCAGGAATCGTCACACGGTGTCTTTCCGAGACGGCGTCTTCTTGCACTGCCGTGCGGGTTGCATCCGCGTTGGCGTAGGTGCTGCGATGGGAACGAGGACTCCCGACTCCGTAGAAGACGAGGACGGTGACTGCTCCGCCTCCTCAGCTGACTCATAATCCGGCTCACTTGAATCCGGCGTTCCAGGAGATGAAGGCGGCGAGGAGGGCGAGGGTGATGAAGAGATCGTCGGCGATGACCGCAGAGGGGTGGAGGACGACGGCAATAACCGGGGACTCGCAATCGCGATGTCTGCCAGCACGTCCTCGACATCAGGATCAATGGCCCGGGACGCTTGGGCTCCCACACTCGGAGACCACTTCCACACCTGATCATAATGACGGACTAGGACCTTACCCGCGACTTCGACCTCCAGCATACAGGCGCCGAGCAACTTCACGACACGGCCCTGTTCGCGTTTACCGCTCGGAAGCTGTATCGTTACCTCTTCCCCTACGACGAAAACCCGGCGGCGTACACCATGATGCTGGTCGAATTGATTCTTGAACTGCTCTTGAGCTGGCGACATGTCCGCACTGGCATGTTTCGGTTTAAAGACATCGAAAGGCGTTTTGCGAGAACGACCGAAGAAAACTTCACCCGGTGACTTTTCATCTTCCAAAGCAACGTTGGGAGTGTAGTTGTACGCGTACACAACGGCCTCCAGTGAGTCAGAAGATGAATCGAGCGCGGATTTGATTGTTCTTACCATGCGTTCGGCACAACCATTGCTCTGCGGCATGTATGGCGCGCAACGCAAGTGCACAATGTTGAGCTCCTCACAAAACTTGGCAAAATCCGCTGCGGTGAATTGTCGTCCATTATCTGAGACGATGGTCTCTGGTTGACCTAGTACTCGGAACAGACTCCGCAGATAACTGATCACGGACTGAGCGGTTATCGAAGGCAACCACTGGGCATCCATGAATTTAGAGAAACTGTCCACGACAACAATGAACGATTTGCCTTTCTTAGGCTCACCCAAATCGACGTGCACCCTTGACCAGACCTTACCGGTGTTCGGCCACGGTGATAGCGGTACTTTCACTGGTTTCGACGCTGTCTGAACACAGTGCTCGCAAGCTCGAACCAACCTCTCGACGTCTGCGTTCATGGCCGGCCAGAAGAAGTGCCGTCGTGCCAACCCTTTCATACGCCGTATACCTGGATGACCTCTGTGTAGTTGTTCCAGAACAAGACTCTGAACTTTTTTTGGAACGACTGTCCGATCGCTGAGCAGGAGTATTCCATTCAGCATGCACAAGGAATCAGCGGCATTATAGAATGGGCGGAGCAGTGGATCTTTCTTGTCACTTTCATTCCAACCATCCATGAGTCGCAACAAGACTTTTGACAGGACGGGATCTTTCGCGGTCTGCTCGACCAAGAACCGCCGTGCTTGTGCGGATGGCATGCTCTCTACCGTCAGTCTTGAAGTTCGCTGTCCACACAGTGGTGGATCGAAGCGACTACCTCATCGAGATCCGAGTCCTGGCTGCTGAGCCTTGCTTCCGAGACGAGCCGTGACCACGCATCCGCCTGCCCGAAGTCGTCAGTACGGACATACTCTATGTCGAAATTGAAACCAAGCAACCGCAGTGCCCATCGACGGAGTCGGGCAGCAGTTCGCTCCTGCAGGCCTTTCGTATTAGAGGTCCGGAAAAGCGCGAGTAGAGGCCGATGATCCGTTTGCAGTATGAAATGTCTTCCCCAGATGAATTTGCGGAATCGTTCTACAGCCGTCACCAAAGCGAGCGCCTCTTTCTCGATCTGGGAGTAGTTGCGTTGTGCTTTCGTGAGCGACTTGGACATGTGGAAGACAGCCTTTTCATTACCATCGGCGTATCGTTGTAACAAAACTCCCCCGATACCCGATGGACTTGCATCTGCGGCGACGAGTAGAGTTTGCCTCGGATCATAGTGCGTGAGCAGCAGGGGACCGGTAAGGATCTCTTTGATTTTCGCCAAGGCCTTCTCATGTTCAGGTGTCCACACGAATCGCACATCTTTCTTAAGAAGAGCCTCCAACAAGGGTTTGTGACGATGCATGTTATCAACGAATTTCCCGTAATAATTGACCATTCCAAGAAGTGATCTGACTTCTTTCTGGTTTCTGGGCGGACGAAGTTCCTTGATAACAGAAATTCGGGACGGGTCGGCCTCGATCCCCCTTGATGAAACCACCATTCCCAAATATTTGACTTTCGGAACGTGGAAATAGCACTTCTCTAGCTTCAAATGGAACCCGGAGTCTTGCAACCGTTGGAGAACCCGGTTCAGGCGTTGATCATGCCGCTCGGTATCCGGGGCCATCACCAGGATGTCATCTAGGTAGACCAAGACGCCCTCCATTCCCATTAGCACCTGCTCGATCGTCTTTTGGAAGATAGACGGCGCGGTCTTCAGTCCAAAAACAAGTCGGGTGTATTGGAACAGGCCCCTGTGCGTGGTGATTGTCGTCACCCGCTGACTGTTCTCATCCAGGGGTAGTTGGAGGTAGGCGTCGGCCAAGTCCAACTGGGAAAAGACTCTGTTCCCCGAGAACTTGGTCATGATTTCCTCCATATTTGGTAATGGATGCTCGATATCAACGAGAGCTTCATTGAGCCCGGTAGAATAATCGGCACAAACACGTATGGAGCCGTTCGCTTTCTTGACGACCACGATCGGGGTGGCCCACTCGGAGAAATCCACTTTGGTCAGAGTTCCATTCTGTATGAGCCTGTCCAACTCCTTATCGATTTGTTCTTGGAGCGCTATGGCGACCGGACGAGGCCTCAGATGAACCGGAGTGGCGTTTTCTCGTAAGCGAAGCTGCACGGTCACTTTGTTGCAGAGCCCAAGCCCTGCCTCGAAGAGCTTCGGATAATTTGACTGTACGGAAGCCGAGTTGACGAGGCCCACTTCAGGTTGTGGATTCTCGACTTTCCAGACTACCAAGCCGAGCTGTATCAGCAGGCGACCGCAGAGCAGGCTCGATTTGCCCCTCGCGAGAACGAGTAGAGGTTCTTGAACGGTCTTCCCGTTGTGAGTGAATTTCGCCATGAAATAGCCCATCAGCTTGATATCATCACCATCAACATGCGTGCATTGGTTCCCGTACTCTGTGAGCGCCGGGCTCCCGAGAGACTTCCAGGTCTGTATCCCAATCGTAGAGATGTCCGCCCCAGAATCTGCGCGGAATTCGATGGGTGACCCGTTGACGTCGACCGTGACGAAGGTTCGACCCTCAGAAAGCTGCGAAGTTTCGAGCACCCTGTTGATGTAGACAGCGTTCGACCCAGTTGCACGACAAACTTTGGCGATATGACCAAGTTTTCGGCAGACGTTGCATTTCGCCTTGCGAAATTTGCAGTCTCGACGAATGTGGTCCCCACCACAGCCAGCACAAGATGCTTGCTCCTTGACTGACTGACGACCGGCGGCTTGGGGGTTCTTTGCTGTCTTCTTTGCTGGCTTCCTCAGTGTGGTGGCGAATACGGTTGGAGTAGTTGGGTCCTCCTTCGTCACACCGTAGTTGAGTTTAGCGTCGCTTGTACGCGTCTCGTACCTCTTCATGACCAAGCGAACCTCATCAGCAGTTACCGATGGTTTGTCGTCGACGGCTTTTATGATCACGTTGCGTAGGCCTTGATAGCTGGGATCGGAAACAGACAGAAGCATGATGAAAATTCGGAGAGAGTCCAAGGAGAATGAGCTCAACTCGAAATCATCAGCTCTCAAGACAGCGTTACTGG